AATGAATTTTTGTTTCATCGACGTAAATAGGAGCATCGCCGGATTGTCACCTTTGACGTTGTTGGTTGAGAGTGCAGTGACTTTAAGCGTCCACCGTGTTTTTCACGAACATGAACAAACTAATCATGTCGTATTACACCTGAGACTGCGGTCTCAGGTGTAATACGACATGATTAGCTACCACCAGCTCGCCTGCACTCTCACCGTCTTTTCATGAACAAACTAATCAAACTCATTGTTCGATGCCATCTTCCTTTCTCACCCGAGCGATGGGATAATCTGTAGGGATGAACGGTTTCTTCTTGGCTCCCTTTAGAGTATGGGGATTACCAAGCATCAGTGACATGAGCCAAGTAACCTCAAAATACGGTGATGTATATTTTTCTATCTGGAGAAATATTACGTCGTGTGAGTACACTGCAAGAGCAATATGACACTGTCAACTTCAACACTGTTGGTGTAAGAACGCGACGGCTTCAAGCTTTTCACATGCTTTTTGCACACGCCATCAAACTTTTTGTTTGACGCCATCTTCTTTGTTTGCCAGAATGATGAGGCGATCCGCGATGTGGCGCACATGACCTCGAAGTTCAATGATGTTTGCTTTTGCGTGTGAAAGAAATCACCGACGTGGGAAAGCCAGTTCTCGCATGCAGTGTTTCATAAAACTAACTTCGATCTTGCAAAGATTTAGCGTGACATTGCCCCAAATTTACCGTATTTGCACGCCGTCATTGTTCAGAAAAAAAGTTGGCTTTCATTCAGGGATGTTAGGTAGATATTCGACATACTGGATTGTGATTGCGGAGTCAAAACTCCACCACACCTGGTAATGGCACAAAAAGTACCAAAAACGAACCATCTCGTGTGGGCGTTGAATTAAGGAAGCGCTGTACTTTCAGAGAGTTTATGCAAGTTCTCATTTACAAAAAGTTGAAACAGAACTAAGAAGTCTTACACGAGCCATTAGGCTCAGTGTCCGTGGAGAAAGGGCAGTTGGACAAATGTGGAATTCTGAACTAGGCTTCGCTGAGCATCAATATTAACTTGTATGCCCCAAGTGCCCTGGTTGATTTTCAGTTGATTTTTTTCTCGGTGTATTGTCAGTGATGATTGTTTTTGTTGCCCACCCCTACAAAATCTCCAATCGGAGATGTAGTATCATTAAATAAATAAATAAGACTTTCAAAGGGGAACATTTATAAGCTTTTTTTTATCATCATAAGGCAGTTTCCGAATATATCTTTTTTTTTATCTTGATGCAGTCACGGGTTTGGGGTTTAATTTTTTATTTGTATAAAAAAAAATATGGTCTAGGTCATTTATGCAATGAACAACAACAAAAACAGCAAATTTGGCTTTTTTTTTAGTTATTGTTTATTGAAGCGCGGCTAAGGCAAAAACTGGTGTTTCTTCCACCTGTTGGAAATTGCATAATTGACTGTTCGCGCTTCCACTTCTCAAACTACTGCACTAGAACCTTTTATGACACTTTCAAATTTCATTTTATGATGCTTATTATTAATAATAAGAATAATTGTTATTATTAATATTATATTTATTATTTATTCATGAGTGTACCCATCTCCACGTTGGTTAGCGAGTCAGGTCAAAGCCAGCAGGGGCTTTTGGGACCTGACTCAGCATTACAAGTAATCAGCATTAAAATGAATTTAAAAGCTAGTATTCTAAAATAATTAGGAAAAAATGAAAGGTAAAATTTTTTCCCTTTGATGAATTTTGGAAAAGTTTGGCCAGTTCTTACATGTAACCTACTTAAAGTATTTGAAGAAACTCAATGTTACCATAAAGATCAAACCTAGATCTTTTAGCGCCTATAAATGCAGCAACATAGGTACAAAATAAAATCAGTTATATTCAGGGTGTCCTCCAAAAAAATTGACAGGGTTTTTGTTCACCGCAAAAATTAGCTTTGCAGTGTCGAATGTTTATTTTCGCTCAAATGTAACACTAGGATATTTGAACCAGATGCCAAAGTTTCACCACTAACCGTTACTTTATTCAACATTTACACGGGATTTTCGTAAATTTTTGACAGAAAAACACCGGCCGGCACAGCTCTTCTATATATCTTATGGCGGCAGTTACTGAAAATGGGCCCTATTTCCCCATAGAGATTTTTAGGAAACCACTTATAACTTGTGAATACAATGACGGTTATTGCTGAAGCTTTGGCATCCGGTTCGAACCGCTTGCACTACATTTCGGCGGAGAATAAACATTCCGCAGTGCTTAGTTCATTTTTGCGGTGAAAATAATTAAACATTTGGTGGGCCCACGCTTTATATTTTTGATGAGCAAACATTTAAAAAACCCAGCAAATTTGAAACCTATTTTCTTAACAAACACTTTATTCTTTTTTTGCTTCGTGTTTTACCAGTAACAATGTTTGATTGTTTCATCAGGAAATATAAATAGAAAATATAGTATTTCGTTAGTAGGACTGCAATTAAAACTTGAAACTTATCTGTAGTGCGTTGTGGCAGCGTTCTCGCATAGGAGATATTCTAAACAATATTGCGACATCAATATGGTTGATTACCTCGAAATAATAGTTGACATGTATGCCTAAAAATAATTGAAATTGTGCTCAACTAGAAGTAAAAGCTATTTTAAACCGCAATAAAGCTTGCCATTTTCCAACACAGATTTTAAAAAATTCAAGCTTTATTTCTGTTTACATCCAGAAAATATTATATTTACATTTCGTGGTACGCCGTGTAACCTTGGTAAATGAAGCAAATGTGTGTGAGACATTTTATATTTGTACAAATAATATTTAAATTATATTAAATAAAAATAGCTTCATTTGAACTTTCTGGTGCTTTCAAGGTAATTAAAATATCTCCAATAGTCCTTGTGTGAGAACTTGAAAAACTTTGCCGAAAATCACCAACGGGAGATTATTAGGCATTTTTTTTCTAATATTTTAAAATATATGATTTTTTTTACTTCATATACAGTTTCTGATTGATTTTTCGGGCACGTCCGATTATTCAGACGTTTTCGCCGAACTATCACCTACCACATAGAGTTGATGTATAACATTGACCGAAATTACGGACACCGTAAAGCGTATTGCTCAATATTTCGAACATAATTTGCATGATTTCCTCAGTTTACAGCCACAGAACAGCCGCCGCGATAGTGCCGCAAACTTAGTTGCCACCATTTTGGTTGTTTTGATTTCTTCCTGTAGCCTCGATACCACGTGCTATGCAATAAACAAGCTGGGTTGAGGCTATGGTCGGATTTTCCGGTTCTGCTATAACCAACATGGCCCATTCTTATGGCTCTTCTAGTTCTTCTCGTGGTCTGTGTTTTTCCAGTGTGACTGCGAGAAAAGCAGCCGTCTGCCATTCTTGTGGTCTTTGAGCGCGAAGGTTTTTTTGCTGATAGGCTTATACCCGTGCCACACGGGCAACTCGAATGCCATTTACAACGAATGACATTTGTGTGCGAATCAGCTCGCAATCTCTCACGCGTGGAATGCGCCATGCCCGAAGTGTCGCGCGCTGATTGGCCGCCCGCTCAAATGTCATTCGTTCTAAATGGCATTCGAGTTGCCCGTGTGGCACGGGTATTAGTGTTGGAGCAAGTTTGGTGGACTGAACATTTTCTCCAAACAGTGCCAAATGGCGCCAACTTCAACTTCGCAGTTTGTGCTAACGAAAGCGTCGACAAAGCGCGGCACTGTGATCAGACAGATCAAGAAACAAGTAAAAAGTGAACAGTATAAGGCGGAAGTTGCACGAGAACTTAATATTGACATCAAGCAAGTGGAAAGCGGCCTATATGCGCGGAAATTTAATATTTTGTCTGAAATGAATTTTTTGGACCACTTGATGATATGGACATTTTCGGGGTCCCCTCCGAGTCCGAAAAATCGGTCGGTGACTGTATTTTAATGAAATTTATTTTCAATGTATCAGAGAAGAGTCCTAGTGCATTGCTTGAGAAGTGATAAAATAGCGAGTAGTCAAACTTGTGATCTCCGACAGGTGGGAGAAACGTTAGTTCTGGCCTCGGCCGCTTTAATGGTAAATGACATAGAAGCAAACAAAAACATCTGCCAAACCTGCCGTTTGCGTTCTCGTTCATTTCAAGAATGAAACCAAAAATTACATATATTTGTAATAAATTAAAATATTGGCCCAAAAATTGTGCTTGAATTGAGATGACAACATCTAGATACTTTTTACACTTCGATAGCAATATGGTATGCATGTGCAAAGGTTCCGCAAAGTATTGAGTATAGTTATTGAAGATATCAGAACGATCTACTCAAACTACCTGACTTACTCGTCACCTCATGGAGTACAATTTTCTGTAGGTTCAGCTTTTATCTAGGCACTTTAATTTAACCAATATACTGTCTCTCCTTCCTGCGCGACAGTGTTTCTGGACAAAACTTCGAGACTGGGGGAAAAAAATGCCAGACGACACAACAGACGAAGTCCTTCATTTTTTATGTGTGTGTTTAATATGTTCAACCATCTGCAGCTAGTTTGAGCCTTAACTTCTTGTTCATTGAAGTATTATTTTGTAACATCCAGTCGCTTTTCATTTGTTATCGTATAGGCTTCCTGCATTGCCCAGGGGGTGCTGTGAAAAGGGACTTGTTTTGGGTAGTACAAATTTGAGCGCCTCAAACTGCCGCAGATGCAGAAGCGTGCCTGCTCTGGTGCAGAACGCGAGATCATGAGGAAAATACAAAGAAACAACAAAATTCGAACGCTGTCGAAGCACAGGTGAAAGCTAAGGCGCTAAGAGCATGAGCCAAAAGACGCCGTTTGATGCGTTCCTCAATAGAAATGAAAGGAAGAAAAGAGTGTCGCACACAGATGTTTTGACGTCACCACCCAGAGTTAAGAGGTGCATACCCTAGCAGTGAAGGCATGAATCTGGCACTTTCGCTTGTCTTGCGGCATTGAAGCTAGCATATTTCAAACGTTCAAAAGTGTTTTTCCAATCTTCAGCACCATGCAGAAAGAAAATAGCTGAACCAACGTGTCATAAGCAGTGCAAGGCCCAATCAGGTAAGCTTGTACTACCCAAAATGAGGGCACCACAGTTTGTTCAAAGCTTCAGCGCAGGAAAGGGTTATCAGCGGCCTGTCTGCTTTCTCTTGCGCCGCAGAGCTGCTCAAGTCCACGAGGCAGACGGAAAGGTCTTTGAAGAAGAAGAAGAAGAAGCGCCACAGCCCGGGGCGTCTGTACCGGACGACCTTCTGTCTTCCCATCGTGAACCCGCTTGGGCCTCCCACCCCTCACGAGATCTTCCTTTCGACGGGCGTAAGTCAAGCAACTGAGTGCGATTGATTGATTGAAATAAGTATGCTGAAGTTTGGCTCGATGCAGCTCTGGGCAGCTCTCTTAGCCAGGGGCGTACCTAGCAATGGGCCGAATTGGCAGCTGCATAGGGTTGCAGCATGTGTGTGGGGGAGGGGGGGGGGGGGGGGGGGTCTAGGCAACAAATTAGGGAAGGTAGTTCGAGTGGTGTCAACACCTTGTAAGCTAGCCCCTCGCACACTGGCTGTTGGAGCCATGACCCACTGTACAACTTCCGCTGGAAAGCGGAATGCGCAAGAGATTGTGCCGTGTAACGGTGCATTGTGATGTGTGCCATTCGAGTGAGCGTCATACTCACTTTGGTGTCCACTGCAAAGAACCGCCTTGGGGAAGTCGGGCGTTAACTCACTGGAAACTGTATCTTCCCGTCTATAATCCGGTCTATCGAATTTGCCTAAATGGAATTCAGGAATAGATCTGGGCAACTTCACTTTTTTTATTTTTATATATTATAGACCAACACGGGCGGCCGTGACGTCACGCAGCTGTGGTGGCACTGTCGACAGCATGGCGCATGCGCAGACGCTTCGCTTCATGTGAATTCGGTTTCTGCGCACGCGCAGTGCCCACACCTGGTGTAGGCAAACGCGGGCTTGTTTGTAAACACCGTGTCAATCTATAAAGGCAAGCTGTTATTTTTTTTTTTTAATTATTGGGAAAGAGGCATTTTTAAGAACTGCCTAAAGAAGAAAAAAAATATAAAGTTTGCCACCACAGTTGTTGGCATATCCGTCAGGATCACACACTCTTTTGATTTTACTGCCTGTGCCGATTAAAAGTGTGTTCAGCTGTTAAATATAACCAGTGGTGGAACAGCCGGGCCAATTGTGCCATTTTTATACATTCAGAATTTCTTGCACATAGCAGTGCCAAAAGCATGAAATTGACCGAAACTGCACCGCACTGCGCCGAAGATCATGGTGACGCTAGATTTAGCGAAAAGTGAAAGCTCGGTTGACAGCCTTGACTATCCCATTGCCAGGTGGTGCAGGCCATTGCCCGATTCCTTGGTTCAGTCGTATCAGTTCACTCATCCTAAACATTGTATCGTTGCATCATACTTCAGACATGCCATGATGTATGACAGCGGTGGCCACGGTGACATTGGGTTAGAGCCGCAGACAAAATTACGAAAGTTCAAAAAGCCGCAAAAAAAAAAACGAAAAAAAAATGAAAGCCATTTACAAATCCCTGTAATGCCAAATGGGAGCGCAGCTCTTGAGGAGGAGTAGGGAAGGGTACTGAGGGGGGTCACGTCACCTGCGGGTAGTCACGTGACCCCGGGGGGTCACGTGATTTCGGGGGGGGGGGGGGGGGTCACGTGACCTTGAGGTGACCTCGGGAGGGGTCACGTGACCTCGGGGATCACGTGATCTTGGGGAGGGGGCCACGTGACCTCGGGGTCACCTTGGGGGTCACGTGACCTTAGGAGGGGTCACGTGACCTTGGGGGTCCCGTGACCTTGAGATGACCTTGGTTACGCCGACGGCGACGCCGACGCCGCTCAAGCCGAAAACGGGCCTTTAAGAGCTGCGCTCTAAAAAAAGACGGGTGGGGGGGCTACTTTGACGAAAAAACAATACGGAAGGAACACTCGTTTCCAAGTGGGACAAGTGTAATTGTTGATTATAACAAATTACACCAGGCAGCAGAATCTTTCTTCACTTACTAAGCCAAAATGAATGCATGGTTTTTTATTCAGCCAACCATTGCCCCTGATACTCGTTATATGTTCGAAATTCTATCTATAACAATAAATGAACAGGGTCACTGGACACATCTGTGTGTCAAAAAATAGTTCAGCTGTATGTACACAGTGTTGTACAAAGCTGTCAAGTAACAATCTTTTTTGTTTTTATTCTAGAATCATTTTATGTCCCGGGGGGGGGGGGGGGGCAGCTTACCAGAGAGCCGCGAGTCGCACTAGATCCCGCAAAGAGCCGCATGCGGCTCGCGAGCCGCAGTTTGGCCACCTCTGATGTATGTTGTAACCTAGCATGTAGCATTAAGCATTAATGTTCCCAAGTCTTGCCCCTTCATTTTTAATCGAAATTTGTTTCTAAAATGGAATATCTTTCTGTGTACACTTTCAGATACTTCACAGTAAAGTTCCATTCCATACTTTCCAACACTTGTAGTTTGTGTTTCGCAAATATTTGATATTCCTAAGAGTAGCTTACAGATAGGGGTGTAGCCGGGAATTTTTTTGGGGGTGTTAATTTTGGGGTGGACTGAGGTGCCTGGAATGTCAAAGATTGGGGTGTGGGGACAAAATGCATGTGTATATTATTTGCAACTCCAACGCCCTATAGGTGGCAGGGCGGTAGTTCCAAGAGGGCGGAAGAGACGGGGATAGATTCTCCAGGGTTTCCCGTGCGCCTGCTCGCTAGTCAATGCGCTAAAAATGATTTATTTATCTGTTAACGCGAAGTGGTTAGGGCAGGATCATATTACAGGCAACGGAGATGCTCATACGCGTTAACGAAATGAGCATGCTGGTATTTAAAAGTTGAAGAAACCTCGACTTCCGAAGCTTTTAGTGGGCGAACTCGTTTTACCTACTGTTTGTCACTGTTTGTGGCAGAATATTTTTGAGGGTGATGAAGATATTGTATTTGCGCCTTGCCTGACCATTAGTCCTCTAAAAAGTGAGCCGCGCACGGTGACCGTCAAGCTTCGGAGGAGCATTATTCACAGTATTGATGCCTTCCTGACACAGGCTCGCTGCTCACCGTCTCAGTTTTAGTGTATATTAACACATGATCAAACTGCTCTATGGTTATTGATAGGAAGTTTGTTACCGCAGGCTACCGTGCGGTGCAGCATTACAACCGGAGGCTCGAATGCGCTGCACCTTTGAAGCACAATTTTCAGCGCGTGCCAGGAGCATTGCCTTGCTCACGGTAGCCAATGGTAGCGCTATGCTAAAACTGCCTATTACCATAATTGGCGTTTTTAGGATTTTAGGGGTTTTATTCATTGCTCTACGAAAAATGCATATTTTTGGTAGAGCATATACCAGGGGTGGCCGAACCGCGGCTCTTTGCTGGTCCAAGTGCGGCTCACGGATTTCTCGTAAGACCCCCCCCCCCTCGCCCCTTTCCACGTTTCCCCAGGAAAAGAAGAGATTTCTGTACGACGTGGGAAAAGGGCAAGCTTTCAACATGGAGTCAGGCACGCAAAAAGCCCTTTATTCACTTCTCCCTCTTCCCTCGTGTCGGCCAAACCGATACGAGAGGTGAATTACCTCACACATCTCTCCTACTAAGTCTCACACCAACAACCAATCACACATCCCCCCTCCTAAGTCTCAAAACAAACACTCACACCTTTCTCCCTCTAAGTCACACCTGCGTCGTTCATTGTTCTTGATATCTCTTTGGTACTCGAACACATCTTCCACTTTTTGTGTGAGCGGGGCCGCCATCGGCGCAATGAGGCCCAGCCTTTGCTGAATCATCATCGTCTTCTTGCACATTTTCAAGTACCTGTACTTCTGATCCAGAAGCCTGACTGGGTAAGGGAATCAGGTGTGTTCTGTTTCTGCGGATAGAGTCTCCGGCGTCAGTGTCGATCCAGTATGATCTGGGTTCATTTGCACTGCTTTGGACGACTCCTTGTCGTTGCAGGTCGACTACCCACACGTCAGTTCCCTCGTCCAAGTCGACTAAGTCTCGGACACCATGCTGGCGGTCGAAGTCATCTTTTTGTTTTCGTCGCTGAGACACTTCAAATTTTCTTACGTTGTTGAGATCTGGAAGGCAGGGAACGAGGCGGCTAGACGAGACTGGGAGATTTGTTCGTAACCTCCTGCCCATCAGAAGTTCTGCCGGACTGTATCCAGCAAAGTAGAAATTTGGGCTAGTTGGTTCATGATCAGTATTTACAGCGCCAAAAAACGACAGGACAAAGACGAGAGTAAACAGGACGAGGCGCACATAACGAGAGTAAACAGGACTCGTTCTGTAAGCGAGTAGAGTCTTGTACGGGTCTTCTGTTTTCTTCAGAGACGACTTTATTATTTTGACTGCGGCTCCTTGCATTCCATTGCTTTGAGGGTACCTTGGACTGGAAGTGATGTGGCGAAAACCATAATCCTTTGCGAATTCATCAAATTTGCGATTAGTGAACTGGGGTCCGTTGTCGGATACCGTTACATCCGGTACCCCATGCCTCGCAAAAATAGACTTGCAATGGGCGATCACAGTTCCCGATGAGAGACCACCAAGGCAGACCAGTTCTGGGTACCGTGAAAAATAGTCAGTTATGATTAGCCACTAGGCTCCGTCCCAGATGAACAAATCCATCGCTATTCTTTCCCAGGGACGCCGTGGGAATTCTGTTTGCAGAAGAGGCATTTTGCGGTTGACACTCTGTTTGAGGCATACGTGGCAGTGTTTGATGAGCCGCTCAATATCAGAGTCAATTCCAGTCCACCAAACAGAATCCCTTGCTCGTCCTTTGCGTTTGTCTATCCCGAAATGACCTTCATGAAGTTGGCGAAGGATGGTGTCGCGCATTTTCTCAGGGATTATCACTCTAGAGGTACGAACTATTACGTCGTCAACGAGTGAGATGTTGTCTTTGTCTTCCCAATAGGGTTTGAGCTCTTGCTCGAGATCTCTTCTTCTTGGCCACCCTGTTGGAATGAGTTGACGAAGCCGCGCGCATACTCAGTCTTTCTGTTGTTCACTGGTGACCTGCTGAACACTGTATGATGTCAGCGGCATAGAGGAGACGATGTGTTTGATGTAGCCATCGATCTCATTTTCGAGGTTGAAAGGCTCCGATTGTGAAATAGGAGACCTTGACAGGGCGTCGGCTGCCGTCAGATCCTTGCCAGGGACATAGACGATGGCATACGTGAAACACATGAGTCGCATGCGCATTCTTTGTAACCTTGGTGTCAGGTCATCGAGTGCTTTGGACCCAAAAAGTGAGAT